AAACTTTAGTATGCTTCAGGAGCACCTGGAAAGGTTGTAAAACACGGATTGCTGAGCTTCGTAGCCATAGTTTCTGATTCAGTGGGTCTGGGAAAGAAGTTGAGAATTTGCATTCCTTTTTATTTTTCAAGTTCACTGAATATCATCTTATTGCTTTTTTTAATTGAAGTATAATGGATTTACAGTATTATGTTAGTTTCACGTGTACAGCATAGTGATTCATTCTTTTTTCCAGATTATATTCCATTATAGGTTATTATAAGATGTTGGGTACAATTCCCTGCATTTCTAACAAGCTCCAAGCTGCCACTGCTGCTACTCATCTGGGGACCACACTTTAAGAACTAATGCTTTATATGAGTATTAAATGAAATTGAGAGTTGATAATAAACAAATTAAGATAGAATCATTAGAAACTTTCTATTGATATATACAAAAGTGATATTCAAAATATTTAACAAGCCACTGAACAGTTAGAATTCATACTGGTCTTAATCCACATGGCTGAACCTATGCAATTGGCCTCAATATTAGATTTGAGTGAGTGTATGCAACAGAAAAACAACTGCACAGGGCTTCCTTGGTGGCGCAGTGGTTGGGAGTCCGCCTGCCGATGCAGGGGACGCGGGTTCGTGCCCCGGTCCGCGAAGATCCCGCATGCCGCCGAGTGGCTGGGCCCGTGAGCCATGGCCGCTGAGCCTGCGCGTCCGGAGCCTGTGATCCGCAATGGGAGAGGCCACAGCAGTGAGAGGCCCGTGTACCAAAAAAAAAAAAACAAAAAAAAAAAAACAACTGTACAGAGATAAATACAAATTTTAAACTTTTTTCCAGGAGTAGTTTTTCAATAGTCTTCAAAATAAAAATCTAAAGTAAGTGTTTTAGAGTTTAGGATGCTATATCTTTTTATCATTTCATTTTTTTATATCCAAAACAACAATCTAAGTTAAAGTTTTGAAATCAGATAATTTTCTTAAAAAATATATAATTCCTCTAAGTATTATCTCTTGTCTCCCCAAAGAGGATGGTAACTTCTTTCATAACCACTCTTTATTTTTCTGATGTTACACTTTAATACGATAATGTTCATTTTATTTTAATAAAAGTTTAATGTGATAAAATGAAATGACATCAGAAACTAACAAAGACCACCTTGTTCTTTTTGAAATCATGTGTTCATGAAAATGAATTGGTTATCATTACCATATATGTATGTATGTATGTTTATAGTAAACTTCCTAGTTCTTAAAAAGCATATCACGACACTTTATGCCAAAGACATGCAGATTAAAATTGTACAAGGTATTGGAGCTAATGGAATAAAATGATACATGAACATTAATTTTGCAGTGAGTTTCACAGAATAATAGTGATTTATAACATAGCCTCATAGATAAGCAAAATAGATGTGTGTATATGTGTGCATGTGTTTCAAAATGATGAAACTCTTCCAAGTGTTAGCCATTTAATGGTTATTTTTATCTACTTTGGAACTTCAGTTGCATTTAAACCTGAAGGCTTTTTGAAATTCTGAAGACAAAGTTTGAAGATTGAAAAGTCTGACTGGCTACTGATGGCTAGGATTGGTGCTGACATTTAAAGTGGCATCACTATTCTGCAGGAATGTGTGTGCATATCTTTAATGTCACCGCTTGCCTCTGGGATGACACTTGTTAGATTTGATGGTGTCATGTGCTAGTTCAAGGTTGGCAATAGTGATTTTTATTACACAATACCTGAATATTCCATTTATGATCTAAAAGGAACTTGTTGAGAGCAATGTTTTCTTGTTCTCTGTGTACTTTGATCACCTAATTCTCTTTGAGTTTTAAAATACAGAATTCTGACATGTGCTGTGATGGTAGTATACTTACTTAACTTTGAAATCATTCCTGTGAAAAATAATAGTCTGTTTGTGTTCGATGGTTCCCAGGTTTCTGAGGATGACTTGACTCAGAGACTGGCTAAGAAATAATAGGAGACAACCTTGGAGGGAAAATGGCATGCTACATACACCTAGCACCTCTCTGCCCAAAGGCAAAGCAGATGAGGCCCAAAGACACATCTCTGTACAACAGTAGTTGCTTTTTGAAAAATCTCTCAGCACTATTCCTTCTTAGGCTGCAGCTTTGTCTACAGTCACAGAAAGGTTGGATATGGCTGAAAAATCTATCCAGTCCAGTGAAGTGGGCTAACAGGGTAAGGAGAGCTGTCTGGGCTATCTTCATTTACACAAGGAACATGCCTTTATGCAACACACCTGTATCAAGGGGGCTTGTGGCAACATGGATGCAACTAGAGATTCTCATACTAAGTGAAGTCAGACAGAAATACCATATGATATCACTTATATGTGGAATCTAAAATATGACACACATTAACTTACCTGTAACAGAAACAGACCCACAGACATAGAGAACAGACTGGTGGTTGCCAAGGGGGGAAGAGGTATGGGGGAAGGAAGGATTGAGAGTTTGGGGTTAGCAGATGCAAACTATTATAGAGAGAATGGATACACAACAATGTCCTACTGTATAGCACAGAGAATTATATTCAACATCCTATGATAAACCATAGTGGAAAAGAATGCAAAAAAAAAAGAGTTCAGGAGGCAGTATACGTAGATATTAAAATTAATACCAGTAGAACCCAAGAGCAGTCCAATAAATTATACAAATATAAAGACCAATGACAAAGAAAATTTACAGTATCCAGAAGGGTTATCTGTCTACATTCTGTTTCCAACTTGTATATCGACTTCTACCCCTAGCACACACACACCCTACACCACCACAATCACATTGAGGCTGCCCCGATCAGCCTCCACTATATCCAGCATTTCCCCCGAAATTCTACAGGTCTCTCCATAGCATTTTGGACCTTCATACCATTCAACTTTTTCTTTTCAAATTTGTGGGAGGCTCACTTGCTTTTTTTTTTTTTTAATAGCAGATATTTCAATTATTATCAGGGTGCTTTGGGACTATTATTCAATTAACGAGTGTGCATATTGTCTTCTTTTGTTTTGCTTTTTAATATATCAGGGGTCTCAATTGGGAGCCTACCAACTATTGGTGATTTGATCACTCTCTTTTCCCCACAACTCCCTGAGCCATTTCACTTGTTGGAAGCATTGGCTTAGCTGTATCTGTGCAGAGGTTTGTTTGTTTTTTTTTTGGCCGGGGGGTGCGGGATATAAGTACACTCTTAAGTGTCAGGATTCTTTTGGAGTAACTTTCTTAATATCTAAAATAGTGACATTCACCTGGTCCTATGGTGTATTAAAACAAAGTCATATCTGATTTGAAATACCACCGAGAATATAGATTTGTCAGGAACCTTAGAATGAAAGTATATGTACAAAATGTATATTTTGAAGGTATATGTGGGGATAGCACTGTTCATCTCAACCTTATATATGCATTATATATAAAGCATTCACTTCTATACCAGGAGTAGGAGATGAACCTTGCTTTAAGGGAAAGTACATCATCAGCTGTCTAGAGAAGATGACCAACTATATATTGTGGAATTAATTGAATACAGCATCATGCCCTCAAAAGATATACCCAAAGGATTTGAATTATTGGAAATAAATCAGGAAGGAGAAAAAAGGACACCACTCTGTCCATCAAAATAGCATTTTCCATGTAGAATCAAACCAATCCAATCTATCACTGGTTCCTCAATTAACTATAGTAAGTCTTAAATTCATATTTTGACTCACACTGTCTTTTGATGTTATGTGTTGTTGGAAAACTGATGCATGAGTGTCCTCTCTGTTCAAACTGTTTCTAATATACGATTTCCTTGTCCAGTGTTCTTTCAATAAAGGTACCTAGTCCTTTGAGGATACTTGTCAGAATGATGCAAATGAAGGTGTGGATTATATATTTATCTACTTATAAAAAGATATTATACTGCAACACCCTACCTACCACAGTTGCTGTGATGAAGAGGCCAATGTGCATTTTTCTAGCAAAATGGAACATTGAGTTTTTTAAATAAGTCATGGGAAGTGATGCGTAGATACTATACAGAATTAGTCCTCCACCGAGATTTCTTCCTTGTGAGGTGATAGTTTTAAAGGTTTTGAGCTGGAAAACCTTCTAATCTAAGAATCTCCCTGCCCACTTCCACCTCACCCTAAACCACAAAGGCTTCCCCGTCACCACCAATAAATTAACATTAATAAATATATATATTTTTAAGATGATTCTCTATCTCATTGTCTCTCCAATACCAAAAGATAAGGTTAAGAAAATATAAACTTGGGAAAACATGTATTACTATTTATAGAAATCTCAGAAAGCAAAGGCAGAAGTATTGCATCGGCCCCATGAAGTGCTCAAAACACACTGGATCCTCCTGGCAATGGACCAGGGCACAAAGGACACATGTGTTGAAAGAATACCTTGAACTCAGACTACCCTCTGTGGGAAGCAAAGAGAAAGAAAGAATCGTAAAATTGCCCAGCTTCCATATACTCCATTTGGACTTTGGCAGTGCATTTGATTTTGAACTCTCACACTCCCATCTCAGCCTCCAGGGTGCCTATTTCCCTTGTTATCGGTGAATTTTTCCTGGTAGACACCTGCTGGGTCCCGTATTAATGAGACACACTGTAGAAGGAGAAACACATTTCCGGAGCCAAGAAGGTGAGAGCTACTCTTTCGAGGGCCCTTGTTAATCTTTGGGAGCCCAGCATCTTCTGTGACAGAACAAAGGCAATACAGTTGTAAATTCTTATTTTTTTTCTCCCACTCCACAAAGAAAATGTTGTTGCTATGTTAGTGTTCATCTACATTTCTCTGAAGAGGTTTTAGAACTTGACTCCCTTTGCTTCGTAGCATCATTCTAAATAGAACCCCACCGTTTGACCACAGCCAGAATTCGCGTGAATGGTACCTATTATTGAAAGGGAGTCTGTATTTGCAGTAATACAGAGGATGCCAGTTTAGAAATGAGCCTGATTGCATGGTTCATTTTGTTCTCCTTTGTAGAGCCAGGCTGCGGCCCACTACAAAGGCACGAAACATGCCAAGAAGCTCAAAGCACTGGAAGCCATGAAAAATAAGCAGAAATCTGTAACTGCCAAGGACAGCGCAAAGACTACCTTCACCTCCATCACTACCAATACCATCAATACCAGCTCTGACAAAACAGGTTAAGCGATGCTCTTTGTTGTGTTACTGTCGTCCTCATCCTTGCTGTTCGGGGGCTCCTTCCCTTGCCTGACTGTATCTGTTGCTGGTGTTCCTTCCATCTTGATTCATGCTTGATCCATCTTTCTATGTAGTGGTAATGCTTCCCCCTCATTTTTCCAGTACCCTTGAGCGATGTCGATAATCACTAGTAATGTTGCAGATTTTGCATTGGAAACAGTCCTATGGCTGTTTTAGAGGAACACAGGAGTCAGAAGGGCATCTAAAGCCATACATCTTTTTGAGAAGTGAACCTTTCCGGCGTGTATCGTTTGCATCTTGTATGCAAGCACGTTAGCCTATAACTGCATGGCAGATTTGATTGAACTGTGAGTACACAGCAGAATATGCCAAATGAATCAAGAAGGCCCCCATAAGGGCATTATTCCTGACAGGGTTTATTCTCATAAATCCCAAACATTGCATTGTTTTAAGTAGTGGCTGTGTGAATCTGGGCTGCTTGTGGCTGGGTAATCTTCCCTCTGCATACACAGGTAAGTGTTATTGATACCAATTATTCTTTTTAACAGTCTTCACAGTGAAATAACGGCCTCTGAATGGTCCCTTGGGATAGCTCCTCAAGCAACCAGTTTATTCACGGCAGGGGAAGTCGGTGGGGTTTCCATAAGCTGGCATTTAAAAATATAAGACCACTGGTCCTCGAAACTTACATAAAAAGAGATCCCGTGTGATTCATGGATGTACACACATCCATTTAATAAATCACTTTCTAAGAATACAAGGGCTGGTATGTGCCAGTCGCTTTCCAGCCCCTACAAATAGCAGTGGTCAGGGAGCATTTATATTGTCATTGATGGTAATGTCTTACCTAGAAGACATCTTCTGGCCCTGGCTGATGAAAATATAAAATCAACAGTGAACCAATGCAACAGATTAAAGCAACGTTATTACACGTGGTACACCCATGAGACATATAATACATAGTCCTCAAAGGATCTGGAGAAATGCTTGCTCTTGTGTGAATCTGTAAGGGATGACAGTGTCCTCTGTGAGTTCCCACAACACATTTTATATACTTCATCTGAATATTATTGGTGCATGCATCATGCCTCCTTCCTGAGTACGCTGTACACTCTCTGAGGCTGAGTGACCTCTCGTCATCTTTGTACCCCAGCACCTGTCTGACGCGGGGTAGGTGCTGAGTAAAATGTCTGTTGGCTGCATTTTCTTTCATCCCTTTGATTCTCTGATTCATCCGGTTTTGTGTCACAAAATGTAAAGGGGGAAGAAAAAAAAAAACTTGTCATGTTCATTTCTTTGGTATCCAGAGCAAGAGCTGAATTATACCGTCTTATTAATTTAGATGTAAAACCTTGTAGGGAACACATTACTCTTTTCTCCATTAATTGAAAAGTCACTGCCCTATTTGGGGGGCTGTAGGGGAAATGAGCAGTCTTGAAGCAGGTGAGTGTAACTTCTGCTCTCAGATATCGGCATCTGGGATGGGATCCCTAAAGCCATGCTCACCATAGAGACATATATTTCATTTGCAAAAAGACAGTAGGTAGGAAGAATAAAGATGTAAATTTGATGTAAAAGGTTTGATATAAAGAGATGAGTTTGATGTAAAGTTTTTGCTCGTTGCCAGACTCTTCTACTCCTAGACATTTTTATCAATAATAGCTGTTTGGATTACCTTGATTTCTCTTTAAAATGCAAAAAATCCCTGTTACATTGGGATGCATGGCATTTAAAAAAATGTATATGTACATGGTGGGTAGAGCTGCTGACTGGGCTTAAGAAGTGCTCCCTTGTGTGCCATCTCCATTACATAAATGAGTTATGAATACATACCTCCATCCCTCACCTGAGAGACTAGAGTGGAAAGGCTCTGTCCTCTTGGAGGATGAATGGAAACTAGTTTGGACTGGGTTGTGGGACAGAGCCTACATAAGATAGACAGAATTCTAGTGGGGATGCCAGATTTACCTAGTGGTTGGAATGGTGTTGAAATAGTGAAGTGCCCTTTCTAGCTGGAGCTAGAGAAAATTCCAGAAGGACAGAGGGATAATAAAATCTGCAAAGTTAGTACAAATATCTTAAAGCCAAAGTAAGGAAGTGTTGGGCATCTGGAAGGGATTGGCTTCCTGATCCAAGGGGACCTCTACCCACAAAGAAACAGGTCATACAGGTTGAAAGACTAACGATTCCAGCACATTCACTAGATGTTTTAAGCCAAACTCTATCCTTATCTGGGATTTCTGCAAAACTACCTATGAGAAGTAGCCCAAGAAAGCTCCTGGAATTTCATAGGCTCTTAGCCCATTCATATTGCAGTATGAATCCGAGGCACCTATGCTGACAAATTGGAGTTTTCTTAAAGCTATTACTTGTCCTTTTTATTACTGCCTGTGTCCTCATACTGATTGGGAAGGAGCACAGCTCTGAAAACAGGATGGGTCTCTGAGCTAGTTTCTTACAACAGTTAAATACTCGGAGGCAGAAGGGGAAAGAGAGAAGACTCTGAAATCAAAGACCACATATTTTTTAATAATAAAAAATTGTGACCTTTCTACTTAATGTAAAAAGTTGTTTTGTGGTTTGTGGACTTATCCATGCATAAAAGGTATAGAGACATTAAACCACTTTCACTAATTTTACCAAATTGTTCTTAACAGGAATTTAATATGTATGTAGGCCAATTGCTTTTAAAAATGCTTGAGTATACAGTGATGTGATAGACAAGAATCTTAAGAGAAGGTTGGGCAACAATAGTTAAAAAAAAAAAAAAAGAAAGCAAGAAGTGGTACAGACTTGAATTTAAAAATTGCTCTGGAGGTTTTCCTGGGATTCTTTAAAACACAAGAAATAGAATACTCATAAAAACCAAATTCTCATTCCAAATCTACTTACAAAAAGAGAATGTAGACAAACAATTCCTTCTAAATTCCTAAATCATGTATTATGGGCTTAAAGTGCTGCCTTAGGCTAATAAATATGTCTACATATTTGGGCTTACATGAGGGCTGAGGTCTCAGTCACTAACTTCGTGATCTTGGGATTCTCTTCCCCTCCTTCTACCAGTCTGCAGGCTGGAGTGGTGAGCAATTCAGTGATCCACCACCAGCCGCTCCCAGATAGCCTCGTTCCCCTACTGCTAGGCAAGAAGACACTCCCTAACGTTAATACATAATTTTAGTTCTTAACAATCTAATGAGGAGTGTTTGGTGAATTTACACAAAGAAAAATTTACAGGCAAAAGTAATATTTTTAAAAATATTTCGAACACTCAAAATTGTTGGTAAGGGAGGGTGATTGCTATTCATTCGCAGAATATTTCATGGAGCAAACATTTCCAAAGGTGACCAGAATAACTTTGTCTGACTTAGCAAGGTTTTATTAAAATTGAAGTATAGTTGCTTTACAATGTTGTGTTACTTTTGGTGTACAGCAAAGTGATTTGGTTTATATATATACACACATATACATATATTCATACATATGTATATATGTATACATACATATGTATACATATATACATATGTATACATGCATACATATGTATACATACATATGTATATATATACATATATATATATACAATAATATATATATATATATTATTTTTGGATTCTCTTCCAATATAGGTTATTACAAGATACTGAATATAGTTCCCTGTGCTACACAGTAGGTCCTGTCGTTTATCTATTTTATATACAGTAGTAGATAGTAGTATCTGTTAATCCCAAACTCCTAATTTATCCCTCCCCTCATTTTTCTTTTAATGCAAGTTTTCTATACAGAAAAGGTAATGACAAAACTTAAGAAATTATGCTTAAAGTAACTTGGCAAATATAGCTCAATTGACTTTTTTTTCCTGTGAAATGACACATTCGCAATTGTTGGATTAAGTCTTGTGCGAAGTCATCCTCTGGTCTTTCTTTACTTTCCCTTTCGGGACAATTTTATTCATTCCTATGACCTATCCATCAGGTTAGGCTAAGTGAATCTGCAGTAATAAACAACTGCCAACTCCTGGTGGCTTTTACAGTCACTAATTATTTCTCTCATACCCTACAGAGCAGCTATGGGTTTTTGTTGTTTTTTTTTCCTTTGTTAATTTAACTCTAGGGCCAGGCTAATGAAGCAGTCACTAGCTGTGCATTACCAGTTCTATGGAAGAGGAAAAAAGAAGGGTGTGAATCAATAGGCTTTTAAAGCTTTTTAATGCAAGTGACTTAACTTTCCTCTCCCTTTCCTTGGCGAGTCACATGATCAAGCCTGATTATAAAGGGCAGGGAAGAATAATCTTCAGGGAAGGGGACAGATATTAGTGAGCAATAAAGCATCACATCCCACCATGGCTTCCGCCATCCCTGTGTTGGAGTCTCAGCATTCCACATCTCCAGCCTTGTTCAACTGACCTGATTTCTTTTTTTTTTTTTTATACATTTTATTTATTTATTTATTTTTAAAACCCAGCTGCATTGGGTCTTTGTTGCTGCACGCGGGCTTTCTCTAGTTGTGGTGAGCGGGGGCTACCCTTCGTTGCAGTGCACGGGCTTCTCACTGCGGTGGCTTCTCTTGTTGCGGAGCATGGGCTCTAGGTGCGCGGGCTCAGTAGTTGTGGCGCACGGGCTTAGTAGTTGTGGTACATGGGCTTAGTTGCTCCATGGCATGTGGGATCTTCCCGGACCAGGGCTTGAACCCGTGTCCCCTGCATAGGCAGGAGGATTCTTAACCACTGAGCCACTAGGGAAATCTCTGACCTGATTTCTAAGGCTTATTGGTCACTCACTTGGATGGTTTGTTAGCACCTCTATTTTGCAGGTTCGAAAAACAAAAAAAAAAGCCTAACTTTGACCATCCTCCCCAACTTTCTCTCCATCCTGTCTTCCCGAGTTTTACTTTTGGTCCTGGAGCTCATAGACCTGAAACCTTCTATCCGTCTTAGCCTCTTCTTCCTATCTCAGTCCACACATCCGTTCAGTGGTTGGAACC